AGAGAAAGAGAGAGAGAAAGAGAGAAAGCGAGAGACACGCGTGCCCAAGCACGCGTGATAGAAGCAGTCACAGGCAAAAAACAAAGAAAGAAACATACCGACACACATGTGCACAAACACACACATGGACACACAAACCTGGACACGCACACGCACAGAGCCACACAGGTAAGCTAGAGACACATGCACCTTCACTGAGGTGCTCAATTCCTCTGTTACTATCTGTCTGTGTGTGGGTCTTGTCCAGTCCATGAGTCCTTCCCGTGCCGATTTATACTAGACCGACCGAGGACCTGGTATGCTCCTTGGATTCCGCCGTCGGAGCGACGAAGCACGCCCTCGCCCATACCTCGCACCTCGAAATCATGGTCAGCAGGACTGCGTGTCAGAAAAACCCTGAAGTGGCCAGGGCCTCGGCAAGGTTTGTTGCAGTCACTGTCTGACACATGAGATATTTGACCCGCCCTCGCAGGCCGAGCGCTTGCTTGTTTGGGTGCTGAGCGACTATGTTCATGCTGTCACGGTGCTGAAGGCTCCCACATGTCATTTGAGTGATGCAAGACGCAGCAAGTAGCATAAGCCCGTTGCGTGTCACTGTTGAATTCTTGTGTCTTAGTAATGACAATGACAGGTTGGCCATGATTGGACGAGGGCTGAACTGACCAACCGTGTGGGTTGCGCCCTGGCCAAGAAGAGACTGGTTGTTTACTTCCAGCAGAAATTCGGGAATATCAAAGACAAGGACAGGAGTTGTCTGGCCGCATGCATCTAGGTCACGTTTGTAGGAATAACCCAAGTCTTTGGAACTACTGCCGTCAGGAGGGCGTCAAGTACAAGCCAGGCCGAGCTCCGAGCCAGGCTTCTCGGCTGAATGTCTCAGCCAGTCGGAAATGAAACTGCATAGCATGTTGCATGACTCTGCAAGGTTCTCTTGGAAGTGTTCGGCTCCTACAAGGCATTCTTCCAGTCCGGCCTCTGCAGCAGCGCCCTCGTCACCGACGCGGACCACCTGGGATGGCTCCAGGACTTGCCCGATTTTCTCAAGGCCTGGCCATGTGCGTCAGGTTAAACGCCCCTTGTGCGTGAGGTTAAACACCTCGGTAGTAGTTCTTTTCCAAATGATAGACGTCCAAGCACCATGCCTGCTGTGAAGGAGATTATCGAGTTTCTGGCCTCCGTGCTGAGTGGTACCCAGCAGAAGTACGAGGAGGAGCTCGAGCAGTGCATCAGCGATCACTACCTCATGTCGGCGGAGAAGATCCTTGAGCGAGGAGCTTTCGGCCTCGACCTCGAAGCCCTCATCAACAGCTCAAAGCCGGCTCCGTCACCGCCTCCGCCTCCGCCAGCGGCTCCTGACGTGCAGATGGAGAAGCCAGAGGAGGACGAGGCAGTGCCAGTGCCAGAGCACATGCCGGACGAGGTGAAGCCGGAGCCCTCGCCCTCGTCCAAACCGCCAAGGTCGGCTCACTTCCCTTCACTGGTGCTCTCCGACCTGCAGGCTGACATCCTGGAAAGGCTTCCCGACCACGCCTTCGAGTCCTCCCTGGCATTTGCCCGGACTCGTGTCTGGTCTGCGTTGAGTATGGTGTGATTGTGCAACATAGTGGTCGTAACTGTGCGACTCCGTGTCCCAGGTGCCAAGACTGTCCAGATTTGCGTCGAGCACGCCCCCGTCCTCGACCCGGAGGATGGGCGAAATGTACTTCACGTCATCGACAACAAGACTTTGGCGGTATCCAACAACCCGACCTGCAAGCGCTACCCTTACAGGTTCACTCCAGCATTCGAAGCCCAGCGCTTGAAGCAGTCGGTGACATGGGTCCTTGGCGAGGCTGAGGCGGCCAATAAGAGTGCAAAGCCTTGCGTTTTCCGCAGCAAAGACGCCCTCGTCCTCTTTGATGGAAGGGGCCGAAAGTCGGCTGCTGAGCAGAGCAAGCTGCTGAAGATCGGACTGAAGAACGTGCCACAGCAAGACTTGCCTGCGCGGAAGACTGAACCCTTTCGCGTGTTCTACCACAACCGTGGCTCGATTGCGTTTGCATTAGATTAATTAGCCAACCCTAAACCCCAAACCCTAAATCCTAAACCAGGCGAGTTTCTGGAAGACTCGGACTGCAGCTTCGTCAAAAAGAGATGGAGCGCGAAAGCATTGGTCAATCAACTCCCTGACCATCTGGAGTCTGGTACTTTCGTGCTCGGGTGCGAGTTTCGCAAGAACTTGCCGACCATCCCGCGACTTCACTACGACCGCCCGGGCACGTGCTAAGCCCAGTCTCCCTCCTAGCATGTCCCAGACATCTCGTGAAACCCTGAGCCCTCAACCTCTGCCTCATTGACTCAGGAATCAGCTGCGTGGCTTGGGGGCCGTGGATCTCAATGCGGACATCATCCTCGTCACCGGCACTGTCCACAGCAGAATGGCATCAGCAAGCACTGTCGAAGAGCATGGCTCTGGCGATGCGACGAAGGCTGGTGCCGTCACCACGGAGGCGCCAGAAGCAGGGGGCGAGATCCTTTTCCCGTGGGAATGGAGCGTCCTCGTCTGGGAGGAGTTGTTCAACAGCTTCGCCGTCGACCCGGCCTCGTTGCACATTGTTCACTACTATCCTGGTTCCGGTATCGCCGCAATCCCTGCGTTGAAGCGGAAGTTCACGTACAGCTGTGCGGCTTGGCGACAATGTCTTATTATTCGCATTAAGTATTTATGTCAACCTCATTAAAAAATAACAAAACCCTATACCCTGTACCCTAAAACACTGGGTAGTCTCGCGTCAACTTAGACGGCATCTCATAGTCTTTGACCTTGGGGAACAGCCTATTGAAGGTGGTGGCGATGGAGATCCACAAACAGGTGCTTCGGGAGATGATCACTTTCAAGATTGTCACCGACATCAGCCTCGGCGACAAGAGTTGGCGATGCCGCAAGCTGACCCGAGAGCAAAGCCTGACAGGTGAGGCCCCGAATGGCCCCGGCAGCCCGGCGCCCTCGACGGCGCCCCCGACGGAGCCACCACAGAAAGTGCAGAGATCCGAGGCAACAGGGAACGACCAGGATCGAGAAGCGGACTGCGACGAGGACGTGGAGCAGGGCGATTTTTCTGAGGAGGTTGAGCAGGATGACGGTGATGATCTGTGAGCGAGTCCTCGACCTCGCCAGTGCCCTCGCCTTGTCAGTCAATCTGTAGTGGCATGGGCGGACATTTTGTGCCAGTCCAGGATTTAATTTTGGAAGTCACAGCTGCAACGAGTCTGAACAGTGGCACCTTGCAGAATAGAGAACTTAGCCTGCTGCCAGGCTGAGCTGGCCGTCGAAGGCGGCATGGAGGCGGGAGTCTCAGGAAGCATCTTCTTGTCAGTGTCCCGGAGCCAAAAGGAACAAACTCCTCAATGACACCTGCTCGAACCAAATGACGATTTGGGGGGGGGGGTTAACGGTTTAGGGCTTCAGGGTTTAGGGTTTTAGGTTTCAGGGTTCAGGGTTTCAGGTTTAGGGTTCGAGGTCGGTGAAGGGTCCAGGTCGGCGGGAGGTTCAGGTTTAGGCTTCAATGTGCAGGGTTTGAGGTTTAGGCTTTGGGGCTTCGGCATGAGGCTTTGGGGTTTAGGCCCCAAGAGTTAAGTCAAGATGCTAATTCCAGGGTTTCAGTTTCTTAAGTTATTGAACTGAACAGCTAAGAAGCCCCAAAAGGGAGACCAGGCTCGAAGCCAGTCGTCCGGGAGGTACTGGAGCTCGCCTGACCGAATCAAGCACTCTTGCTGCTTGGAGGCTCGCGGAAGGAATATAACAGCGCGTGACACTGCTATCTTGTTTTTCAGCGGTTGCTTTTGCTTTTGGTTGTGCCCTGCAGTGAACGGCGGACATACTCATGTCCGGTCACCAGGAAACTCAGGAAAGGCTTCGGCTTTGTGAGATGTAAGACACACTGATCATTAGTCGAGGTCTTGAAATGGCAAGCAACTACAAATAAGAAGATTGGCCAACATTAACGAGGACCGTTAACGAGGACAAGGTCTTCTAGGGCCAGGGTTGATGATCAGTGCAAACACCTTTGGTGAAAGGGGCCTTCGAACGCCGGGTGTGGAGGGTTGAGCGTCCTGTAATTCTCCACATAGTGCACCATGTCCTGGAAGTTGACGAGGTCGCGGAGCAGTGGATGGCCTTTGTTCCTTCCCAGTGTTACCTGTTGCTTCAAACAGACTCGCCCTTTTATTCAGGGTCAGCAATTCCCAAGTATGTCACCACCTCCCCCGCCAAAACAGCCAGGCTTGTTAAGGTTATGTCTTCGCCGACCCCTGGCATTTCCCTGTCCGAGTCCTCGTGGAACAGGTCGTGCCAGCTCCTTTTCTCCTGCTTCGTCAGAGCACGGCACTCGGTGAGAAGCCTAAAAACCTCCGCCCTTGCAGTTGGCTGACGCAGGTACCATGCCCGCGACTCAATCTTCTCCACCATCCGCACTCGCCAGAGGCAGAAAATCACAGTCTCAACAGCCGTCGAACTATTCAGTTGTCACCTTCTGTTGCTTCCACTGCTGCGAAGGCCTCCAGTCGCAGCTATACCGCACTTGCTTGCAGTATGGGCACAACATCGCGCTGCACGGGCGAGATCTCTGCGAGGGCGAGGTCTGTTGCTGCCGCTGAAATCCCAAATGGCTGCAGCGAAGCTCTTGTAGTTNNAGTTGCCTTCTGATGTTGACGACTGTTCAACCTATCACAGATTTTGGGATCCTGCACAGACCCTCTACCGCCGCACCCGAACCCAACCAAGCCCTTCTCCCCCATTCCCCTTCAGACCCTCTCCCCTCTGCCACCCCCCTTCCCCCTGAACCCTAAACCCTATAAACCCGGGACCCTATAACCCTAATCCCTTAAAACCTGCAGGCCCATGTCTCGTCGTCCTCGCGCTGGCGACAGGGCCGGGGCCTCCGTCTGAAGGGTTTAGGGCTCAGCGTCTTAAGTTTAGGGTTTAGGAGTTTAGTTTGGGTGACGACCGATTAGGTCTTCTCAGTCTTAGTCTTAGGCTTTAGGTAGTGGCGACCGATTCAGGTCGAGACCGATCAAGTTCTTTAAGTTTCGGGTCCAGGGTAGGGCTAGACGACCGATGTAGGTCGACCCTTAACCCTAAACCCTAAGCCGTAGATGTCAGTCTAAGACGACCGATTCAGTCAGGTCGAGACCGATCCAGGTCTTTGTAGGTCGGGTCCTAGGACACAACCGATTGCAGGTCCAGGCAGCAGGTGGACGCAGTTGGTCACATATAGGTCTAGGATGCAACACACGTGGTGGTAGTCTTGGCCCGAGCTGTTCATGTTGAAATAGGGCTCAAGATTTGGGTTTGGGGTCGGGCTCCGGACTTTCGGGTTTCGCATTAATAATAATAATACTAATAATAATAATGCATAGCCCCCGAGCCCTGCTTCAACGCCAAGCGTGTTAAGACCAATCCCCCTAAGCCCTAGCTGACTGAGGAATTACCGGTTTTCAACCCTAAACCCCCACACCCAAAAACCCCTTCGCCCCTAAACCCTAAGCCCCTAAACCCTAAACGCCCATTGGCACTGGGGCCTCAGCTGCACAGACTCGGCCTCGTCGGTTTGGCTTTAAGGTTTTTTTTGGGAGGTTGATTGTTGCAGCTCAGGGGATTTTTGAGGCGTAGAATTATCATCCCGGCAAGCCCTTTCATTGCAAGGGATCTCTCACCTAACTACCGTCCTCGTCCCAGCTTGAGCAAAATCGCAAATTCACCAACGATGTCATCTCCAACATGTCCTCAGGCCCGTCAACTGTGACCCCAATGTCATGTCCATACCTGACTCAACCTCAGCCCGGCCCAGGTCAAAAGCTGCTGTTTGCTCGGCGCTTGCGGGCGTGGGGCCCAAAGCCTTGCGAAGTGGCGTGTCGGTCGCTTTACTTCTGTAGGCACGCCTGACTGCCCAGGTGCAATTGAGCGCTGGTGGGGTTGGAGCCCAAGCCTAAGCCTTGCGTTACACCCATGGAGTTGAATCCTTGATCCCGTATTAAAGAGAGATGTCCTCCTGGTCTTAGGCACGCTTCAGTTTTTCAGTTTGGAGAACATTGTCGCCATGGCCCTCGTCACCGAGTTGGACAACAGTGGAGGAGCCGTGAAGTTTTGAAGGCGAGAGGCCCTCGCCCTCGCCCTCGGTGCACAGCTGCACGAATAATTTTGGCCATTGTCATTCAGCGGCTGCGAGGTCCTTGGGCAGAGACATCTCCCGCTCGTCCTCCTTCGCTTCCGTGCCGGGTATCTTCAGACGTCCTCGTCCTGGATTTAGGACGTGGGGGGATGGAGCATGCTCACGTGTTAACTTAGTTCGGATATCAGTTTGTTCTCATTCGAAGCCACGCCCTCGCAGGAAAGCGCTCTTTCTCTGTGGTGGATGGTGGGGACACCTATTCTCTGTGCCGCCATGTGGTGTGGTTTTCCGCCTGCACCTGCGCATGATTGTCAGGTGGCTCACATGGACCTGCTCCGGCTCACTGGCCGCCGGCCGCTCAGGACCTAAGGAACAATAGCCTAGGCCAGCAGTTTAAGAGTTGGTTGGATTCCTGAGCAGTTCACTTCTTGCAGATCGGCAGCCAGGCACGTGTGCTTGTCAAGTGTTCTGAAACAGTGTGCCAGTGACCATCAGACAATATGACGGAAATGCTAAGACACACTTGCCGCATTTTACATTTTAACATCCAAGCTGTTTCTGAAGGATGTTCATTGGTCATGACTCGGCCAAAAGATACTGACTGGTCACTAGAGGCCAGAAATTGCCAGCTGTCACCAGTGTTTCCCGCCACAATGCCCTGCTTGAAGTGTTCATGTCAAGACAACCTGGGAGATGACTGTGCTTTGCAGGCCACGTCGTGGCTGACGGGTCTCGACCTCGCCATGTGCGGAGAAGATCTCGCACGTAGGCCGGGGAAGGGCTCTCCGGGCGGGGAGGTCTTCATCCACACACTTGATCCCCGGCAGAAGCGATCGCGGTGAAGATTCATCACACATCCTTGGGCAAGGCAGCCGGAGGCCGCAACATGCGAGGAACAGTTGCACATTAATTATTGACTTAAAGTCTGACGCAACAATGATAGCCCACCTTTAAACGTGACTGGCCCAGGACATCCGCGTCGGCGAGACCGTGCTGAAGAAGGCCAGTGGTCAGCTTGATTCTGAAATGGTTGCCGCGTGATGTTTGTGGCCTGTGTCAACTCTGATGCAAGTGGTAATACTGTGCTTGAATAAGTTCTAAAACGAGCGATGCTAAAGTTACTCGCCCTCGTTTCAGAACTCGTGGCAGAGTACCAAGTAGACAGCTGAGGCAGCAGCGAGTGCGAATCCTGATCCTGCACGGGACCCGGCAGTCGGCCATTATACTGTCCACACAGGGAAGTGGAGCAAGCTAGGTGTGCTGAAAAACCCTGGTGACAAAGCTGTCTGCAAGAAAGAGGTTGCATCTGCAAAAACATGTGTCTTCTCAATCGCACCAGAACCGCAGCAGTGAGGGCTTCAGAAAACCTCGTGCCCAGTGCATTTTGTTTGGCAATGGTCAAGAGCAGCACTGGCAAAGCAGGGGCATCAAGTGTGCGACAACGTAAGCAACCGCACGCCCAACGCAAAGCAGACTGCGACAAGGATGAGAAGCCAGCTCCCAGTTCGCCCTCGACCGAAGCCAAGGCAGCGCCCTCGACCTCGGAGAGAAAGCCAACGGCTTGGGACCTGCGCGTGCAGAAGTTGAGAACCACGATCGTTGAGGAGTTGGAAGAAAAGATGCGGAGCAAGTATTCGAAAAGGTTGAGGGGAATGCGTTTGCGCTGGAGG